CCAAAGCACATTTCCCCCACCCTATAAGCCCACATTTACCATGGCTAACCAACCTAATCTGCACAGCAGGAGGAAACCAGAGCACCCAGAGAAAACCTGCAAACTCCACACAGACAGTCACCCAAGGCTGGAATTGAACTTAGGTCCCTGGTCCTGAGGCAGCAGTGCTAACCCATGAGCCACCTTGGCAGATGGTGAAATTTGAATTCAGTAAAAAGCTAGCCCAGTTGCAGACATCTAACCAGTGCGATTGTCATTAAAGATCTGTCTGGTTCACTCATGTCCTTTAGAGAAAGACATCTGCCATCTTTACCTGGTCTGGTCTACATGTGACTCCAGACCCACAGCAATGTGGCTGACTATTAACTGCCTTCTAGGCAATTAGGGATGGACGATTAATGCTGAGTGAGACAGTGACACCAAAGCCCATGGGAAAAAAAAGTTCTTATTCTTCTAAATTCCAATGGCTATATGTCCAATGTTTCCTGAAAAGGGAAGGTCCCAACAAAGGTATTAATTCACAAGGTGTAGAGCTGGATGAACACAGCAGGCCAAGCAGCATCAGAGGAGCAGGAAGGCTGATGCTTCGGGCCTAGACCCTTCTTCAGAAAGGTATTAGTTCAACAACTTTTCTCTCAATTGCCTGTAATGAAGTTTCATCTTAAATAAAGAAGCCAAAAAAACTGTGCACTCCAGATGTGGCATTACCACAATTATATATAACTGCAGCAAAGTATCCTGACTTCTACAACTCCACAGGTCTTGTAAGAAATAACATGATTCTATTCTTTTTATTCATTGGTCAAGGCCATCATTTATTGCCCATCCCTAATTGGCCAGGAGGCATTTAAGAGTCAACCACATTGCTGTGAGTCTGGAGTCACATGTAGGCTAGATCAAGCAAGGATGGCAGTTTCCTTCCCTAAAGGGCATTAGTAAACCAGATGGATTTTCCCCCTGACAGCTGATTCATAGTCATCATTAGACTCTTAATTCCAGACTTTTTCAAAAGTTAAATTCAAATTCCACCATCTGATGTGGTGGGTTTTGAATCTGGATCCCCAGAACATTACCTACTTTTCCAGATTAGCATTCTAGGGATAATACCATTAGGCCATCACCTCTCCTTTCTAATAGCTTGTACTGCCTGCATGCTAACCTTTTGTGTTTCATTTGGCTCATATTTTCCCACATCATACTCCAACTTCACATTCCCTCCCAAGCCACATACCATCTTGGTTTGGAACTTGAATTAAATGTTTGTTGTAATGATAACTGCAAATTTGGTTGTAACATGGGGGTCCCAAGCCGATGTTTCAGAAAATAGAGAAACAACATCTAATTGGAACCCATAGTTTGCTCCACGGTCAACATGTCAATCAGGTACATAGATACTTTCTAATTGTTCTGTTCAGAGGTATTATTACACACCAGGTGGAATTGGGAATCAGGCCTCCTGGCTCAAAGATCAGGTCACTACCACTCAACCCCAAGAACATAAATGCACCTGCACTTTATCACCTCATCTCAACACTGATCATGGTAATTATCACTTAAATTAATGACAACTGGCCTCACACATTTGTATCAACTGGCCTGGATTAGGGGTGTGATTTTACAGTATTAAAATGATGGAAGGGTTACAAGGCCCATACTAAGTTTGGATTGATAGGGAGGATATCATCTGGACTATCTTAAACTAAGGTCAGCTGTGACACACAGTCCACACAGCGAGGATGACTCGAGTAGAAGGACAAACTGAGATCATTTTGTGCACACTGTCAGTGACCCTGAAGGACCAGCTAGGAAGACAGCTCATACAGCCAATGACCCCAATCCAAATTCAGCTATATCCATCTGGTTTGTATAAGGACAATCAGAAAGAACTCCCATCCCACAGCCCATTGTAAAGGTGCAGGCAGAGATGTACATCAATGAACCGAGTTCCTAACCGGCTCATCACGTTTTAAAGACGATATGGGATCCAATAATCGAAGATCGCTGGAGAGGTCAAGTCATTAATAATGTTGTAGCTGATACCCACCCACTAGGATGGAAAACCCAACTGCAGGAAGAAGGTTTCATAGTGGAGCAAGTGCTTCCAGCAGATAATCCAGGACGGTTCTGTAAGATGTTGTCAGAAACCAGCCCAGCAGCTAATACTAACAACATTAAGATTCAAGGATTTCAGTAACGCAAGAACCGAGTGATATTCATATTGACCAGGAACAAGGCAGAAGACAGCAAGCTAACACTCCTGGTAAGTGGAAAGTCCAGGAAACTAGGATGCTTTCACCATGTGAATATGGACTCCCATCCAGTGTTTAAATACAACCAATAGCAAGGAATGAATGGCATGGAAGATATGCAAGAACTGTTGTATCAAGTGTGTTGTGCTGGTTGTTAGGAGGCACCTGAGGTTAAAAAGTGTGCAGGAGAAAACTGTTTAACCCAATTGCTACCCCGGTACCCACCCCAGCTGAGATCCTGGGGATAAGTGATTGGAATATCAATGTCCGTTATTTGCCAAAGAACAGCACTAGTAAAGTCTGGTCTCTGGACCAAGACGTCAGTGCAATTCTGAAGAGGTGTTACAAAACACAGCTTCTTCAGCAAAGTACTTCCTTCAGCAAATCCATCACTGGCCATCTGAGCTTTCTCATATTGTCAACAAGGTACATGATATTCTTCACAATCTAGATGTTACTGACAGCCAGAGCTGTGAGAAACTAGACCCTAAGCCAGAGCCCCAACATATTACGGTGCCAGCAATTCCAGAAGCGATTTTCCAACCTGCCTGGCTTGGCTAGAGGCCTCAGACATGTCAAAACCCATTCTGACACTCCAACCCAGGGCACCAGTGCAAACTGCTATCAAGGACAAGAAGTAGTCGTGGTGGCTCAGTGGTTAGCACTGCTGCCTCACAGCACCAGGGACCTGGGTTTGATTCCACCCTCAGGTGACTGTCTGTGTGGAATTTGCACATTCTCCCCATGTCTGCATGGGTTCCCTCTGGGTGCTCTGGTTTCCTCCCATAGTCCAATGATGTGCAAGCTGGGTGGATTGGCTATGCTAAATTGCCTGTAGTGTTGAAGGATGTATAGATTAGGTGGGGGATGGGTGGGATGCACTGAGGGTTGGTGTGGACTTGTTGGGCCAAAGGGCCTGTTTTCACACTGTAGGGATTCTATCAAGAAACCAGTGAGGAGTAAATACAGGAGAGTGATTTTTTAAAAAAGTAGAATGTATAGCAATGTAGTGGTAATTTTGCAGATAAATTAATGGTAATGCTCAGTAAGTACAGATTTAAGAGGGAAGGCAATGGCATTGTGGTATCGTCGTTGATCGGGAATCCACAACCCCAGGCTATTGTTCTGCAGACATGGGTTTGAATCTCACCAGAGCAGATGGTGATATTTTAATTGAATACAAACCTGGAATAAAATATAACATTCCCCCACCCCCAACCACCATTGGTAACTGCTGTCGATTGTCGTTAAAGATGTCTAGTTCATTAACGCCTTTTAGGGAAGGAATCTGCCATCGTTGCCTGGTCTGTCCTCCACGTGACTCCAGACAGCAATGTTGATCGACTCTTAACTGATAGAAATAGGCAATAAGTAATGGTGTAGCCAGCATTGTTTATAATCCTTGTACAAATGAAAAAGCTGTCATAAATGTTATGTCTTTAAACAAAATACATATTCCTTATGGTATTTTGCTCCTGTAAGGGAACATTTATCTACAGTTCTACTGACTCATTTTTTTGTACCCTAACATCCACATTAAATGAAGTTTCACTGCATATCATTGTTCCTTCACTGATGTTGTATCAACACCCATGAGTCTCATTGCCAATAGCACTGTGGGTGAATCTCCACCATATAGACTGCAGTGGTTCAAGAAGGCAGTTCACTACTGCTTTCCCAAGGGCAATTAGGAAGGCAATAAATGCTACTCCAGTCAGCCACACGTACCCGAGTAAAGAATAAAAAAGGATCAGTATTGCTTAAAAAAGATACAGTTTGTAAAGCTTTTGGTCTGGTACTCATCAGGACAGATTGCAAGAAAACCAATCTAAGGAGAAAACCGATATTTATACTGCATAAGAATATAAGGATAGAATAAACATTGACACAAAAACTGAGTTTGCTGGAAAAGCTCAGCAGGCCTGGCAGCATCTGTGAAGAGAAATTAGAATTAATGTTTCGGGTCGAGTGAGAACTGAGGAAGGGTGACTGTACCTGAAACATTAACTCTGATTTCTTTCCACGGATGCTGCCAGACCTGCTGAGCTTTTCCAGCAATTTCTGCTTTTGTTTCTGATTTATAGCATCCGCAGTTCTTTTGGTTTTTATTTAGAGTAAACATTGGTTGTTCGATGAAATTGGCACTCTTGCAAATTGTCCTGATGAGTGTACGAAGAAAACGTTTGGCGAAAATGTGACTTTTTCCCCAGCAATATGCAAATACAGTATTAGTTTGAAAAATAAGTTCTTTGAAACAAGAACAGTGCAATACTCTCACTCCCCCGAATGATAAATAGTTAATACAAACTCTTTCCTTGCCATGCATGGTAATGTAGCCCTCTCAAGTGGCTTGGCCAAGCTCTATCGTCTCGGGGTTCGGGCTATTTCGCGGGGGTAAAATAAAATGCTGACAGGGGAGAGAGAAAAAAGAAGATAAACTAGTTTGTTTTCTGTTTCTTTTTGCAACAACAGATGGTAATTCTGATTCGGAAAGGCAACATGCCTGCATCTGTTTCTCTCCCAATCATTCACTTGCTGTTCAAAACGTCATGTCGGTGCGGCACACGTTTTGGGAACACAGAGTGCCGCGCCGAAGCTGGGGGGCAATTTTAACAAAGAAAAGGTTTAATTCTGCGCAGTGGGGAAATGCCTTCGGGGGTGGCTCCGCTGACGTGGAAGAAGAGTTGCAGTTTGCTGGCTGATGCAATGAACGGGAGGTTGGATCAACCTTATTCATATAAAAGGCAAACAGAGCTCCTGAAAGGGAAGGAGGGAAGCCGGTGTGTATGGGAGACTCTGTTTCTCTGTGATCTCCAGGAGAGTGAGTGCCGCCGGTGGGACACCGCAGCCAGCTGCAATATACAATTGCATTGCCATCTCTCCCACATTCAAAGAGAAGCGGGATTGACAGATGGAGGTAAACGCGGAGACCATTTATTGCACACATCAGGCGGAAAGTATTTTATGCTGCCGGACCTGGTGGAGCTTTTCCAGCAATTCCTGGTTTTGTGCAGCAGTGCTTTCGGTTTTTTATTTGGCCTTTAATTCACTGTCACTTGCAGGCATGCCCATCTTAATGCTGACCGCGTGTTTATTTTATTAACAAAACGCCGAGAGAAGGGGGAACACACGTTGCCTTGTAAAAGATCTCTTGCCTTGCAAGAGATTTAATATGACTCTTGTGAAATCATTTGTTTAGGGGGCGCACGGGTTTAGATCTTTAATCATGAAATCCTGCATTTCTCCCCATGCAAGAAGCAAAGATTTGCACCTTTTAACCCGAAAAGGAGGTCTGAGTTGATGCCGGCCCAGTTACAATATTGTTTAACACTCCCGCCCCCTCCCCCACAGCCCCTTTGCTGTACACTATGCATTGCATTCCTAACCTCTGAAGGACACCGGCTTGTGACATCTGCCAGTTGTGACAAGCTACGTGCGGCTGTGTCTCGTTCCTCTCCCCGCCACCTCCCTTCGACTCAACCCCAGCTGAAAATGTATTTAAAAATCAATGTGTTCTGCACAGTCTGTTTGAGAACCTTTGTCCCAGATTCGTTTTTTCTTAGTTCAGTCGGGGGATGGAAGATGTTCCTTTCTAGGGCAGCATTTATTGCCCATCCCTAATTGCCCCAGAGGGCAGTTGAGAGTCAGCCACATTGCTGTGGGTCTGGAGTCTCATTTGGCCAGGCCAGGTAAGGATAGCAGTTTCCTTCCCTAACGGACATTAGTGAACCAGATGGGTTTTTACAACAGTCGTTTTATGGTTATCATCAGATAATTCTACCATGGCAGGATTCAAACCCAGGTACCCAGTATATAACCTGGGTCTCTGGATTAACAGTACAGTGATAATGCCACCAAGCCAATTTCCCCCTATGACTCACATTTCCCTGAGAAATCATGGCATGGTTAACACCTTATTTTTGTCATTTTTTATTGCTGGAACACTGGACAAGCGAACGAGTGTTTGGCTGAAATCTTAGGATAAATGGCTTGTATTTATGTAGCCTCTTTCATGACCAGTGGAAATATACAGATACCTAATGGACTTGACAGGGTAGATGTGGAGATGTTGCTTCCTTTTGTGGGGAGAGTCTAGGACCATAGGGCGTCATCTTAGAATGAGGGGAGGCACATTTAAGACAGAGGTGAGGGGGAAATTCTTCTCAGAGGGTAATGAATCTGTGGAATTCTTTACCGCAGAGGGCTGTAATGGCTGAGTCATTTTGCATATTCAGGGCTGAGAGAGACTGTATTTTAATCAGTAAGGGAATTGAGGGGTACAGGGAAAAGGCAGGGAAGTGGATTTCGGGATGATCAGATCAGCTTTGATCTCATTGAATGGTGGAGCAGGCTCAATGGACTGAATGGCCTACTTCTGCTCTGGCATCTTAAGGTTTTATTAACTGTTATTCCCGTGTTTCCCACGAAGAGTGACAGTGACAAGGAGGCCATTGTGAGTGCAATTTCATCACCTTCCAATTATCTATAGTGTATGGCTGTGAGTTGTTGTGATGTGCTGCTGCCTGTCCGTGACAAAGACTGTGGATTTGTTCCCGTATAAGAGTTTGCAAAGTTGATCTGATACAATGTGATTTTGAGGTCAGTTCTGTGCTGCAGGGTTGTCAATAGTTGTACTGCACACCTTGTGTTGCCATTTGGCAAATGACAGTTTGTGGTACTTTGCTCTGAGCTATATGTAGCAATCTATTAGCCTTGCTTTGAGCAACGTCTTTCACAGTTAAAAGGTCACAAAACAAAACCCAAAGCACTTCCTGTTCTCTTTTTCTGCCTTTAGTAACCTGGTTCCCTTCAGAAGGAAGAGAGTTGAGAATCTAAAATCTGTGGTGAATCTACTGAAAGGCAGAACTCCCATTTCCATGTGTCTATCGAGATGTTCCAAAGTGCATTTTAACCAGTAAAAGTTCTTCACTATTTCAAAGGAGGTGAATAGCAATGATTGATTAGGTTTTACTGATGTTGGTCGAGGGATGAATGTTAGCACTTTGAGATGTTCCCGAGAAGAGACAAAATACCTTTCACAATTACCATGCCCCTGTTTTAATACTGTTTCAGAATCTCGCACATCCACCCAAGAGGCAGACAAAGCCTCATTTTTATGTCTGCGTGGCTCTACGTTTGTCATTGCGGTCCTGAATCATCAGTCTAAGTGATATGCTTGTAATTCTGAAAATGCACGTTGCCAACTTGGAGGCAAAACTGGTGGTACTGAGCCAACGTTCGCACTTAACTACAAAAAATGCTGCCAATAATTGATCTCCAAATGATGTTAGGAAGTACCCACAGTGACCAACAAAGAGAACATGACGATGTAGGAGCAGACCGTTCAGCCCATCGAGTCTGCTCTGCCATTCATCCACCTTGGCCAATAATCCTCAATTCCCATTTTCCTGCCTTTTTCCCATAACCCTCAATTCCAATAGGAGCAATAGTTCTGAATTCACGGGCTGGGCTAAACACACTGGAGCTTTTTTTTTTTGTCTTTTTATTCTTTCACTGATGTTTTATTGCCCAGAGGGCAGTTAATAGGCAGACACTTTGCTGTGGGTCTGGAGTCACATGTATGCCCAACCAAGCAAGCATGACAGATTTCCTTCCCTAAACGACATTAGTGAACCAAATGCATTTTTTACAACCTTTGATAATAATTGCCGTGGTCACCATCACTGAAACTAATTCCAGATTTTATTAAATCAAATTTAACCAGTTAACCTCGGATTTGAACCTGCGTCTCTGGAGTATTAGCCCAGGTCTCTGTATTACTAGTTTAGTGGTATTACTCCTACAGCACCATCTCCCCACAGCCAACAAGATTGCCATGCAACAGAGCCCAGGTAATGCCTGAATATTACCACGACAAACCAGCAAACATGCATTTAAATCTTTTCCTGTTGCCAAGAATGTCCCAGTCTGCATTAATTTGGGAGTTATCCATTTTAAAATCCACCTGCCGTTTCCTTTGATTCACTTCATTTATTGACTTGATCATAAAATGATATCCTCACTATCCCCATAAATGGTTTAATGTCATCTGCAGCCCTTATCCTTTGGTTAAACTTCGCTAAAAGGTGTCAAGAAAGTGAAGTACTTATGCCTTCCACTCATCAGGACTGGAAAACAAGAAACAGACTTGAAAAATTTTCCACCAATTTATTCAGCACGAGAAGAGGGTGCTGGTTTTATTTTTTGGGTCATCTTTGACTTGGAGGTTCAGTAAGAACAGTTAACTGTCAATCTTCAATCTCAATCCAGGAATTTGGGATACCTTTTTTCGAATTGCTTTCTTGCAATCAGTGTAAGACAGAAAGCTTTGATTTCTTGTCTCCTTTTGGACATTGTTTAAGTTCTGTATTGTCAAGCATTGATTTTATTGCATTGGTGAAATGATGAGGAAATCAGTTAGTGCCAGCAAGGACAGTAGTAAGATGCAATTTATGTGGCAACAAAGGGAAATTGTAGAAACTATTACTTAATATTTGACATGACTCATTCGTAAAACTGGATAGTTCTTACAACAGCACCTGATGACCAAAGGCGTATTCAATTCGCAGAAAGAACATAGGAAATTTTAAAACTGAATGCAACACTGAACTTGTGCAGTGAAAAGGGAACTAATTTTTTGTGGAACATTTGGAGGAATTTCACAAAGCTGTTTAGCAGGGAGTGTGTAACACCAGTTATGTGGAAAGCTTCATTGTACATATTTGGCAAATTACACTCATCAACTGGCTACTTGTAAAACAATCCAAAAAACTAAAACCACTCGTTGCATATTTGTCCTTCAACACTGTGACATTCAGTCCCTTAAATATATATCCAATTTTATAGAATCTGCTCCTGCAATTTTATTAGCTTGGCAGTTGTCTTCCAGCTATTGCCCCTGATAAATGGCTGTGATTGGTGTTGTGGTATGTCTCATAGTTAGCATGTCTGTGTACCTTTAAGTGACATGCTTGTGACATTATCACTGAATCACAGCATGTGACCTGGAGGCATAAAGATCTGAGACTCCTTCTTACCTCAGATCACTTGATGCACGAAACTCTACTGGAATCTTATTGCTCTTAATCACGCAACTTACTAGTGTAAATTATCCCAGGCACTTATGTGCCCGACGAATGTATTGTTGTATATAATAGTTACTTGTGATATATATGTCTATTGGTTCTTCAACACAATGACATCCACACCCAGTTTCTTAACTTATGAGAGATTACATAAGCATCACTGTATTGGATAAAACAGCCTGTTGGAGGCAAACCCAAAACAGTTGGAAAAATGTCTATGTTTTAGAACATGGAACACCATTTAAAATCTTGGCTGGTTTTGAGATTTCTTCAATCCTGCAGCTTCATGGTCAATACAGCGTTCTGGTCTCCTGGGCGCATGGGTCATGTAGATACAGGACAGAACACTGCAGCATTTTTCTCTAATTGAATTTTAGTGACTAGATTACCAGGGTCATATGCGTTTGTGTGCTTAACACAATTTTCTTGTAGACGGATATAATTTCCTGTGCTTTCTGCTCTTGAGTTCTGACTAGCATCTGAGAGCAAAATCTTTCCTTATTGTGGGTGCACTCATTTAGGTTCCAATCAGCAATGAGTTTAGTAACTGGGACAAAGGAAAACAAAAGTTGTTCGCAACTTGCATCTAATAATGTTGGTCTGATTTACATTAGTAACATCATGAGGTTATGATGGTACTGGACCAGCTACCCTGAGGTGGAGGGTAGGTTTTCACTTGTTGGTTAATTGGCAGAGTTGATTCCTCCCAAGAACAGTGCTATGCTCAGTTGAGCCTGAGGAAGATTGTACTGGCCTTGAAGGGGTTAGAACTCAGTCACTGGAATCAGTCTAGTGCTAAATTCTGAGGGTAGAATTGTGGAGACTAGGCTTA